AGAGAGAGAGAGAGAGGGAGAGAGAGAGGGAGAGAGAGAGAGAGAGAGAGAGTGTGTATCGCATCGCATACAATTTCGCTAAAACATCCTTAATTACATAAACAGTAAAAGAAGCTAAATAGACTGTCGAATGGAACTAGGCGAAAAACCTTTAATTAATCATATCTACTGCGCAGCAATACAATATTAAAACCGTATGAAAAAAAAAACATCAAAAAGGAAACTTAGAATTCTATGCATTTATACAACACAAGACAAACAACATATATACTAGATCAAAGTTGCAAAAAATCTAAAAACATTTAATGTGTAACATTACATATTCAACGATATTAACAACAGTCAATGGTTTTTACAACGTTTGAGATAATGAAAATAAGAGAAAACATTCAAAATTACAGAAATACAGTATTTTCAAAACATACAACATATTAAATACAGAGAGTACATCAGAGGAATCGCACAATTTAGAACAAGCAACGACAAACTAGCAATAGAAACAGGTCGCTATAACAAAACCTAAAAAAACACCAATTGGACACAGACTATGTACACAATGCAATGATATATAATCTAATGCACTGTTAATTATACACTGAACATAGAATTACAATGAACAACGTGATACAACGAATCAACCCAGACTTTCAAAACAGAAACAGTTTAATTACATTATTGAAATATCAAGTATCCAAACAATTTTAGCACTTAGATTCTGTTTAGTCAGCTTCAGTTATCAATATGCAGTTCATAGGGGATTTTGTTGTTGAAAGAAAGTGAAGCGATTCGATTGTTTTGAGCGCAAACACACTAAGTTATAACTGAGTGTATTGCTCACGATTGTCAAATAAAAATATGTTGTCTATTTAATTTACTCCTCTGATGACATACGGATCTGTAAGTCGGAGTATTACAAGAACGTATATACATACGACAATATGGAAGACAGTGAATATAATTACTGTAGAGCACTATTAACACACACATTGCAAGGACATACTGATTGTTTGGACGTCGGGTTTGAAAGACAAAAGCGAAAAACATACAAGGCCAACGCCTTACATATACAATCACTGATTTTTTTTTCTCTCAATATTGATTTTGACTTATAATCTCTTAACTCAATAAAAGTTGTAAAAAATCTGTTTTTTTTCGTATTTTTCATCTTCATGCCTACGATAGTCGACATGGCTACCAAGAATTGCCAGGATGAATTTTTCGTATTTGCAAATTAGAACACTAGGTCTCACAACCCTTGGATACCGATATTATATTCGTCATATCCAGCTCAATACATTTACGTTACTTGGGATGTGGTTCGACTCAATCGGTACTTAATCTGGCATTTTCAACAATAAACATTGGCAATGCTAATATTTTGACAATAGTCTACACAATTACTGATTTATAAACAAAAAACATAATGCCACTCTCCCGACACGTAGTACGCCCGTACAATAGTTGCCGCACGCATAGCTATGCGCATGACAACAACCGTATGTTGACAGGAATGACTAAACAGATGTAATTGATTAGCAATTTACTGACTATTAGAAGCATATAAAAACCCACTAGGGTGTTGGACATCTCATCAACACTTTCATCAGCACTATAACTGTTTGCTTGCCTGCCTGCCTGCCTACCTGCCAGCTTACCTGCTTAAGTAAGTAAGTAAGTATATAGAAAATATCTCGTGGGGTTCTATGCATGATTGTAGTGTGAGAATCTAATGTTATTCCATGTAACTGTTTCGTAATTTTTATACGAATATCGAAATTCATTAACAACAGAAGAAATCTGTAAATCGCTTAAATTACGATACCGATGAAGGACTTACCAACTACGAATTATTTCAAATTTTTTGGACATGAAAAGCGGTGATAATTGTCACTTTCGGCAATAAATTATATCTTTCCATAGTAAAGACGTACACAGAAATCTTTCATTTTTAACATAAAATGAATTAACCAACAATCGTTTAATTACAGATATGAAGGCCAGAGCCGTCCTTGCCGTCGTAGTTGTTATGCTAGTTGTTTTGCAATGCTGCAGTCACACTGAAGGATTTGGAGTCAGCGGCGGACCCCCTGGTCGTGTAAGTATATGTATATAATCTAATTACAGTTTGGACCAGTAGATTTAACGTATACTGTTGTAAAACTCAAAACGATCTAATGTTCATATCAATTACAATAATATTACAATGAATGTCTTATCTCATCAAATATATCATCAATCATTTTCCTAGTCATTTTCCAAAAATCTAGTAAATCTCAGCCATAAATGTCAAATTATTCAATCTCTATAGAAATGCATAAACTAAAATAGTTGCCAATTCTGGGTGTAGAAAGATGATTGAATTTGTAAAAGAATATCTGTTATATTTCTATTTGCTGACTTGCAAAAAGTTCTATGCCACTAAATGGTTTCCCCGATGTGACTGACTCAACATATTATTTGAACGTTGAACAGGCATTTATTAAACAAAAACAGATAGGTAAAAATGTTAGACCAAATCAAGGATAAATGTTGATTATAGAACACAAAAATATAGAAATTGTTTTTTTCTGTTGTGGGGAATGGCTGAAATTAATACAGCAATACAAGCAATCAATGTTGGAATAATTAATTCAAACTCAGATTGCCTAGTACCAATCTTAGTTTTAATGATGTCAGGGCAACCACATTACTAGCATATCACACATGAAACATAACATTAGAATATATTACATACATTTAACTAAAGTGCATCTGAGAGTACGCACGTACAAGCTGTTCCGAAATCCGCGAATATCACTGAAATTAATAAATTTGTATTCATAATATTATTTTAAGATATCTATTGACAATAATATCGCAATACCATAGTACTCCATGGTGATTCCAAGATATGATATACCGTGATCGTTTGTATTGAATATAACAACCACTGTGACGTCTTTCTATTTTGATCTTGTAGGGTCTTGTAGGCGTAATCGTTAACCCAGACGAACTGGATGATATCTGTGACATTTTCACTCCCGGAAATAGAAATGGAAATGGAAATGGAAATGGAAACGGGAAATAATATGTATTTTCCTTTTGTAAAATAAACTCGTTTTCTTATAAATGAAACTGTACATTCTAGATTGACAATAGAGAAGAAAATTAATAAATTATAGCAGAAAAGTTGAACGTATAAATTAGTATTTGTCCGTTATTTAATTTAAACATATTCTATGCAAATATTGTTAATTTCACAGTCATGTTTATCAAAGCTTCAACTTTGTGAGACAGATATTATGGAATTATGATGAGGTTTAATTATTTTGTTATTAAACCTTCATCTGAGGTACCAACGATCGGAGAGTTTGCCACATTTTACCGAACAAAGACACACACACAGGTAGAATACGTGTCAACTTGGGGAAAAGTCCCCCAAGCTTCTCTCAAGGCTGCCCAAGACTCTTTTCAAGACTGACCAAGTCGTGGAGAACTCGCCAAGACTGACCAAGACTCCTTTATTCACTTTCAAAACTTTAGCCAATTACATGGGAGTTGAAGAGCTTAAGGCGTAGCCATCACACATTCAACTCACATACATCCAATCACTCGAAGTACTGAACACGTCATATATACTGATAAACTATAAACAGTTATCAAGTCGTATCAGCGACACATTTTAGACACATAGAAATAAATCATGACAGAATAATGGTTTTGACACGGTGATATAGCATATCTACTGTGAGGATCGTTTTTAATGCCCCTTTTTAATGTGTTTGAATCAGTACTCTATCAAAATTGTTTGCAGAGTAGAAACGAAATATACGTCACACAAACAGAAATAGCAATCATATTGCCATGTGGTTGTCAAAACATCACTGTCACCCACCGCTTTGTGTTCTTTCGTCTAATGCGACTATACAACTCATACAAAATAAAACATTTGTTTCATACGTCTGTTCATTATATACCTCGCAGTCCGGCCTCATGGCATGGAAACCAATGAGGGAGCCGTACAAATTGCAGAACCATGTCACGCCTAGCCTTGTTTGGCCATATTTTCACAAATATATTCGTTTTACAGATTTGATTTAATGCAGCGCGCACTCCAACATCATTTCAGTCAGTTGTTGTGATCATGACGGCACAGAATTATGATAATTATGGTATGTCCTTTATTCATACCACTTTACGGCTTTCGCGACCTCCCAGTCAGGACACAAAAGACGTATCCAGTGCAATGAATGCGTATCGATGCTAACACGTTTAGGTCAAAGTTTAGTATAAATTAGTTTGAAATCGACAACTAAAGGAACAAACTGTTCGATAGCGCAATATTAGTACCGAGAAGGCTCGTTGATTATAAGAGATGAAACACATACTAATTTTCTAAGTCGTTACCCTGTCGCATAAAGTAGGTAGTGAAGCAAAAGTGGTATGCAGTGTTACAAAGTGAGCTTGTCGTTGCAAAATGACGTTTGATACAAATTACTGATCTGGGACAGATCGCAGCATGATACTAATAATTTTTGGCAGAAATAACATAAACTCCAGATAGCGAAAGGGTAACTTTGCCATTGCTGGCAATCTATATTAGAAATCAGTTACACCCGTACGGCGTGATAACTCTAAAGCTGGGGAAACATTTTTCACAGTAAAACATTTTTCACAGTCAAACTAATAAAATTCTTATAAATGAAATGACCCCATGGGCCTATTCAATGAGAAAAGAGAGTTTAGTTTCCAGCGCTTATCGACCGCAGAGTCGTCGACCAGCGGACTGGCCCTATGGTTTAGACAGTCAAATTAGAAGCCAAATCAGAAAAATAAGGAAGACGTGTTTGCAACTTAAACGTGCTCGATTATAGCCTCTGACTGGGAAGCCAGTGAGTTATCCTAACATGACATGATTGATATGAGTCCAGGACAATCTCTGCATCGGTCATTCGTCGTCGAGGGATGTTTTCCCGTCCCATAACATGTTTAGTGTCACCCTTAGATTAGGTTGACTAATTTTTATAATAACAATTACAATAACACAGTTATTGCACGTGTACAGCAATACTAACTGTACAAGATTCTAACTGAGCCTAACGGCAATTCCCCCCGTCCTCGCTACCGACAATTTACGATAACAGGTGGATAATAATAGGACTTACATCCAACCTTTTGATTTTTTAGTCAAAACGATGGTTACCACACAGGTTGCAGAGTTCAGAAAACAAGAAGATTGTGATACCGCTTAGCCTCTAACCTGAGGTTAAAACGAGTAAGAAATTTGATTTGAGCACCAAATGCTTCTAGAGTTGTACTAGCCACTTTGATGGGATTGGGAATTACTTTACTGTAGGTAAGTTGGACGTGCGATAATATTACCACTGATTTCTGATCAACGTGTCATTATCGACAGCCAAGCTACTGACATAGGTGTTTTTGATGTCGAGTGATCCCAGATACTCTCCAATGAATGCAGCGGCGCACATCTGGAGGTAATCTTCAACTGATTCAGTTGGCTCAGGTGTACGATTGAATACAGTTATTTTTTTTCACTGAAATATTGTGGAGTAACAAGAGAGAGGGAGTCAGAAACTGCAGTGAGTGCGCGCTTTGCCAACAATTCTCTCACCTCCCACAGAATCATACCGACTCTATCTATGTATCATGAGTTATTGACACCTGTTTTATAGTCAGTTGGTTCTGTCTCTCAAATTTTTACTATTCAGCTACCTGACTAATTTGGTTAAGTTTAACTCTCACAGGCTGATTTTCTTGAGAAGTTATTTTCATCTCGTTGTCAGGTTGTAATGATGCAAACTTTGAACAGCAATACTACTTTGAGACTGCTCGCATCCAAAGTTCATGTCGCTACGAACCTAGGATCCCACCAAGTCCGACTACGAGTACTCCCTGGCACTCTTCAAAAACAAACAGTATTCCTTACTTTACTTACTCGGCATTAATATGTTCAACGTTGCTATGACTAGCTGTATTTTATTCCATACCAACGCCACTCGTGCTGCAGCCTGAGGAAACTGATGCACTTCTCCCCTGTCAGTGTTTTGTCATACTGCCGAGACCTAGCTAGCATACAAAACTCACTGATACACTCTTGGTGGCTGTGCTGGCTTGGTCATTGGTCACGCCCGTAGCCGGCAATGCCCGCGTTACGGCTTTTTGTTTTATTTCAAAGTAGGTACAGTAGGACTCATTGAGCACTTTTTCGTGTTTGTCAATTATAATCAAGCAAGCAGACATGGGCAATAATATAACACGAAATTATAACTAAGACAATGACTAATATTAATTATCACGATCATTAATAGTGTCTAACTAAACATAACACGCATACACAGTAGCGTTGGACATAATGGGCAGCTCAGTCCGTGCATAGCAATGTTCAATATTGTTGCGGTGCCCTTATGTAATGAAAATCCAATGAGTTTACTTTTCTCAATCTGAAGCAGATTCTGCCATTATAGCACTTCCTTTGCGAAAGTCCGGTGTAATCACTTGGTTCTTGTTCTAATTTAGATGAGTAAGGAAAAATCCACATATGCAATGGGCTATGACAAAGAAAAAGTAAACAATATGATACACCCCCTCATAAATACAATTACATATAAAGATGAACTGCACAGTTAAAGTCTGTGAAACAACTTAGAAATACATCATGTCTTTCTGAAATTGAATTGTCGGAGAATCTGTGAGATAAATAACAGTGCCACATAAATCTGGCTGAGTGTGAAAAGTCACATCTTGAATTATAGAAATGTAGAAAAATCAAAATCAAATCTGAAAAAAATGTGACCACGATTACCCTGAGAGTAATATCAGTCCAATTGAGTATTAAATTAGCATTAAAGTATTATTCTGAAATGTCAAATGTAATGGCTAGTTTCTGTCTAGAGGGACCCTTAATCCTGAGAATTGCTCTTAAGGCTTGTTGAATACCCAGTTTCTCTAAGTAGGTCACCCGCGGCATATGTTATGTGTCATGACTATATGAAGTAAAGAAAATGACAATGGTGCTGTGTGCCAAATCTATTGACTCAATCGTAATAAATCTGTAGTTGTCCGAGCTCTCTTGTCAATCAGTTCACAAAAAAAGTGAGCTTGATGGCCAGAAGTATATGTGGCAGAAAAATTAGTTAGATAATTTACATATAAATGAGAATACGAGAGAGAGCATCAACATAATAATTATTTGTTTTCTCATCACACGGATTGCAAATGTTAGCAACAACTATTGTACTTTGTACGTGTCGCGTAACAATAAAGCACTCTGTACATTTCAGGATATTCCTTCATAAATTATGTATATGATTTATTGTCACAGCGGCAACGAATTCGCAGTGTTTTGAAATAGTTGCCCAATGGTTCAGCGAGTGAGCTGATACCATTCCCGTCAGTTAATGAGGGTAGTTCTGGAAAATGTAAATGCTGACTTGATTTTTAACTTTACTTTGAAGTGTTATTGTTGATTAGTGCTGATCCCATACTATGTCGGTAGGTATAATATCCACCCCTGTATGTCTAGACAGAAAGTTAAATTTTGTTTTGTGATGAAGATTTTTAAGTTTACTATCCAAGTCAATCATTGGTCTTAAGAATGTATGACATGACAAATCCTTCTAACACGACTTAATTTTGCAATTAAGGAGAGAATTAGGTGCTTAGATGCACATTTGTGGTGTTTCTACTGGTTCAAAGTGCATAATTTGTTTGTGTTTACTGAAGACCCAAGTTTGCCCTTAAAGATTTCATCAGACATCACCTCTGCAAATGTGTTTATCACGGCTGGACTATTATGAAAACCAAAGGACTATGTTTTTGACTGTCCACATCGTTCCATGTCAAGAGTCTAAGAAAATCTTTGGTCGAACTGTGATCTGATAAAAGGCATCTTCACAGTTTACCTTTGCAAGCAGAACCCCATTGCTAGTGTTAGTTGATGAATAGACGCATGTTCATGTGCAAATTCTATCGCTCATTGACATCCCTAGTGACCACGAGTGCATGGATACCGCGATACATTTCACTGTCTATTTTTTGGTGGCTGTGCTTCAAGTGGAGATGACACAAATTGTGATGAAGGTGGCACTCCAGCCACAGGTTTTTCAATCACTTGTTTGTCTGGGTTGTCGGCAAGGAGTTTTGCCTATGGAGCATAGTTGAGATTACATTGAGTTATTTGTTT